CCCTAAAGAAGCAACATGACATGTATTTTAGTTTTTTGACCAAGCCAATGAGCAATATTAAAAGAGGCTGTGTTTGTAAAAATAAGTATCTCTAGTTCTTATTCTGAACCTCTTAGCTCTTTTTTTCTATGTATATGCATATGTATATAAGCATTATATATGTGTGTGTCTGTGTATGTATGTGTGTGTATATATATATAAAAAATGTCATCATGAGCCTGAAAGACAGAATAAGCCCTTATTCTTCCTCTGTTGTTTTAAAAGGTGATTTTTACCTTTTTATCCATCCTGATAAATATAAAGCACTGGCTAAACACAACAAATATGTTCTGAAGGCTTTTCCAAATTCCTGTTCATGGTTGGGAAAGAAATTATTGCTGCAGTGTGCTGTGAGTTTGCCAAGAGGAATTAATTTTTGAGCTAAAGGGATAAATTTTATGTAACTCTTCACTTTATTGTGGTGTAACTGGGTGTTTTGTCTCTGTTATGCCAGATTTGTCCCAAGTGTTAGTCTGCATATTCCCAGGAGGTATCCTGAGGCAGAATTTGCTATAGAAGTAGTAAATATCTATGAGCAATAGTCATTTTTTTGAAGTGTAAGTATAGTGAGCCAGTTCATTTGTAGTGTGAGGTGTGTTTGTCTGTACGTGTACACACAACTCCTATCTACTACAGCTTAGCACAAAAAGCTAGGTAAAGCTCATGAGATTTTGAGGCTTTGGGGAGAAGGAAGCGGTTTGGTATCTGCCTCCATCTATTCTGCAATACCATTTTCTTTTCAACTGCAGATTCTAACACTTTTTTTTTTCTCTTTTTGAAGTTCAGCCATTCTCCTACAATATGGAGAAATTCTGTTTTACAATTCGCCAAAATTAATTTTGCTTCCATCTGCTGTGTCTTGGATTATTTGGTTACCTCCTGCTGGTGATTGGTAATTTTGACTCATGCACTGAACATCACAATGACCAGAACAACAGTGTTCCATGACACTTTTTGCCCATATCCATAAAAGCCCAGAAAAAGTGATTAAATTTAATTCTTGAAATCTTTCTTGATGGAAAGCATAAAAAAAAAATTAAGGGAATTCTCATTTGACAGGAAATTATCTACACACAGAGATGGTCTGCAACTTTGCCAAAATGCTTCCGTATTTTGCTGCCAACAGTTTGTGCCTATCTCAGCTATTCAGCAACATGTAGAACTGTGGTTTGTGTTTTCAGTGCAGGAGATGAAATCCCAACTATGGACCATGACTGCTCATGAAATATGAGTGTTTGACCCATATTTCCCATGAAGAATGTCAGCATCTCAGATTCTATGAGATGCTATTCAGCATTGGAGACTGAAGCAATGTATACAGGCATTCTGCAGAAGTTTCCTTCCAAGATTTCATACATGGTGGTTTTATCCTGATCAGACCCAGAATCTAACACTGATCTAAAAGTAATATCATTGTAATAGTCTTCTATATGCTTTTCTCTATTAATTTGTCCAGAATAAACTTCTAGTATCCACAAAATATCTGGAGGCAAAAATTCTTCAGTTTGATTACACACTGGGTAAAGAAATATCTTTTGTTACAACCTGCTGGATTCATCTCATTCCCTTCAGTGCTGTTCTCTCTGGTCTACCAGCCAGTGCATTAAATACATCACTGATTTTAAGGGGACAATTTAATTCAAGGTACAAAAATCAGATTTTTGTACAAATAATTTGGATTTTGCTTACCTAGGTGTTTAGTACTGTTTCATTCTTTCTGAAGCCAAATTTGGACCAAGAAGCATGCTTTCCTTTGGAAATGTAATTACGAAAGCTTAGAAGTGCTGAGGTCCAAGAATTCATTTCACTCAGTCTCCTGCACTTCTAAATATATGGTAATTGCTATTCTTTGTGTTTGAAATGAGAGAAAATAGAGAAATTAAAGAAATGTTACTTTCTGCAGATAATTTCTGAGGATAAGATTGTTTTAAAGGTATAACATTATTAAAATAATTGGGGTTTTAATCCTTGTTTGCATCTTGGTGCAGTCACAGAGCACATTTCCTATATTTTGTTTATTTCAAAACAGATCTAGAATAAAGGGGGTTTTGGTTTGGTTTTTTTTTGGTTGTTTTCTTTGTTTGTTTGTTTGTTTGTTTGTGTGTGTTTGTTGTTTTTTGTTTTTTGGTTGGTTGGTTTGGGGTTTGGTTTTTTACAGATTAGTAGGCTTTGTGGACTGCATAGGTGTTTTTCAAAGGCACACACCACGCTTACTTTAAATTAATTGCATTTTGAGATAGGATATATATTATGCTCTTCCTACCAAGGTACAGTCATGTGTTACAAGCTGCTATTCTACAAATTTCTAGAATGCCATTTTATTATTTCAGAACATTTTAGGAAAATTCCTGAGAAAGTAAAATGTCTTCTCATAGAACTGTGTTTTCAGCTATAAGCATAGCAAAGTGCCTTGGGACAGTAAAAGAATTGGCCTTTAGGCAGGCTCTCATACCACCTTTATCTTCAAAGACGTCTTGACCTTTTGCCTGGGCAGTAATTCTGGGTAGCATTACTTTGATCTGTTGGTGACTGTGTTTCCTGCAGCACCATGGCTGACAGCAGGTGACACCCAGTAACCTCACACCATGAGTGTGAACTTTTATTGTTGCTTTTGCTTCTGTTTATTTTTTGGTTGTAATACTGTTCACATCAATACCAGAAGTTGTTCCAGAGGGATTCAGTCATGGGAAGTGTTCAGGTAGCTCAGAGGAAGAAGAGAGGCTGTTCATCATTCAATAATGCTGAAAAAGGGCGGTTGATGTAGAAATCTCTTCCAGGTCTATCAAATGACAAGAATTTGACTGTACCCACTGCAGTGCCAGAGACCAGACTGGAGATGCTCCCATGCACAGGGAGCCTGGAGGCCTTGTGTCCTTTTCTGAAACACAGGAGATTTCCTGGTCATCTGCCCGATGGGAGGAGCAGCAATCACCGTCACCGTGCCCTTCTGTAGAAGCTGCTGCACAGTCATGATCCCCCCATGCATATTCACAGGAATCACTTTATTAATGAGGGCATACTCTCCAGTGCTTTTCTCCAGATCTTGTGGGCATAGCTCATTTTGGCCCATATCAGAAAGCTGGCTCTAGCAACTCAGAGAAGGAGGTAGCAAGGGAAAAAGTGTAACTGAATGTATTTTAGCTTGGGCTGGCAGCAAAAGCCTCGGGGTCTACAAGGAGCACTTGAAGGAGATTAGCATTGTTCCTCCCTGGAGCACTCACTGAGGCGTCACTAAAGAGCACAGTGATGTGCTTGGTTGGAGCTCTGAGCTCAATTACACGTTGATGGCAATGATGTCCTAAGCTATTGCAAAGAGTGAAGAGCAGGAGGTACATAATTTGATCTGTGATCTTCATAAAGGGGCAGAGTCATGATTTAACCAAGTTAAATTCATTTGTACAGCAGAGATGCCTTTTAAAGTAAAGATGCTCCAGCTCAAAGTGCTTAGTTCCCTTTGATAAGGACCTCTTAAATGCTTGCTGCTTTGGATCTCAGTCCACTTACAGTCTACCCAGTAGGGATGGTGCAAACTTGCTGAATTAAATGATTTATCTCCTTAGAGCTGAGGTCTTGTTGTATGGCATTTGTGAGTTACTTAGCACTGCTTCTAAAGGTTTCTCACTGGTAAAGTGAGCTAATGTGTCCATCTCATTCTGTTGTGCTCTCTGTGAAGGGTCCCTGGGCTTCTCTGAAAAAATTCATAATAATTTGCTCCGGTTCAGTTCATCTCAGGTTTCTGCACGTAAGGTATACCGGGTCTCTCTTGGCTGGGTAATTTGCTTCAAAATTTGCTTTCTGAGATTAATGTTTCTTCCTTTCCATTCATGATCAGTAGGATGGAGCTGCATTATTTTTAATATAACATTGATTCTGCAGAGTGATGTTTCTGATCCTTGGGGTAAATATCAAGATTGCTTTATCTATCCATGTTCTGAATGAAGACACAAGAATATCTCATTATGCAACTGTTATGAAGACTCTCATGTTTTCACCTGCTATAGATACTGTTGATTTGTTTTGCTTGTGTGTTAGAAGCCCAGAGCTTGGCAAGGATCTTGTTATTGATCTCACACAATCCATTCTGAGCATTAGCATGGGAGTATCATTCACAAATCAATTTTCTCTGAGCTTTAATTTAAATACCAGTGCCCCTTAAAGATCTTTCTGGGTCACTTTTATTCTCGAACTGTACTTCAGCACTGAGTAAACGGATTAATGAATACAGACACCCAAGTTAGCTGCGTGCCAGCTGCTGTCAGATATAGATATCTGCTCAGTTTGCTCATGTATTTGTTTCTGTAAAGAGTAATACTCAGCTGTCTTTACCATCAAAACAGTTTTCAGATTTCAGCCACTCAATCCCAGCTGCTCTGTGCAGAGGCAAGTTTTCCTCTGTTATTAAGACACACTGCCTGGGGTGAATATTCAAGGTGAAGTAGTGTCATTTAGCTAGTTGTTAGACTAGAAAAACTGTCTGCTACCTTCCTCCTCAGCAGACAGAAACTGAGAAGTACATATTAAAAGATATTTAGGAAGAATCTGAGTGAAGTTAATGCATCACAGTGCTATGCAATCCACTGAAAGAATCTTGCAAGGCGCTTATAAATGAATGCAATATTTGATTTTGTAAAGATACGGAGAAAAGTTTGTGAGAGGAAGAGATCTGCAATGGTCACTTGGAGGCACTGCCAAATTTATGTTCCTCTGCCTTTAGCTACTGGTTATAGGAAACAGATGTGTGGGAACTGGCTATGGGGTTATGGAGTGTCCAGAGCCAGGGACTGCCTGGAGAGAGGCCCTACAAGAGGTTTCTTTTGTCCGCTTCTCATGCACATGCCCCTTACTGGTATTGTAGCATTAAAATAGCCCAACAGTTTCTCAGAAATTATGGCCTAGCTTCCCAAATTATTTCCTTTTTTTTTTTTTCTTTCATTTCTTTTCTCTCTATGTTTCAGATTATGCTTGGCCTTTGCCTAAACAGTTGTGCCCTATATGGATTTCCCTAGATGTGCTCTTTTCAACTGCATCTATCATGCATCTCTGTGCCATCTCTCTTGATCGGTATGTAGCAATACGCAATCCCATTGAGCACAGCCGCTTCAATTCCCGCACCAAGGCTATTATGAAAATTGCTGCAGTTTGGACCATATCCATAGGTAAGCAATGAGGATCATGATCTTAACTGTGTCTTAATGAATAATAGTGTTACTCCAATTTTCATTTAGGGTTTTTAAGAGGATACTCAAATTAATTTACCTGGCCTGCATGCCTGAATATAATAAGTGATTGGGAAATGGAAGACTTTCATTGCAGTTGGTCAGTGACCAAAATACATAGTTATTTTTCAGGATACCACCACTTTCAATGCTGAAGCATTGCTGCTGTGTACATCTCAATATGCCAATAACAAAGCTAATGCAGACAAATGGTACCATAAAACTGCTGTGTAAACAAAGCAGAAAATAGCATTAGCAAAGACTATGGAAGGAAAACTCAGCTAGTACAAATGACATGTCTACACTGCAGTTGCAGAAGCTAAACTCGCTCAAATTCTGGTAGTAGTTTAAGTGAAGCAGTGCAGAACTGAAGGCAGCCTAGCCTAACGGCAAGGTATTTACTTCTCTTGTGCAGGCTTTATAGCCTATATTGCACTCTGCCACAGCTGGATTGCTGCTAGTACTGAGTTAGCAAGTTTGAAGTCATGGCAAATGAAGAATAGACATAAAGGATAATAATTTTGTATCACTCCAATAAAAACTGATAAATAAAGTGGCAGTAAAATAAAGAATGAAATGCAAAACGATAGCAAGATGACTAATATCAGGAATTATGTGGAAAAAAAATACTTTTTTAATTCTTTCAACATGCTTTATAAATGAGATATTTGGAGCAGGGTCAGAAGAATTGCTTGACCACTTCCCTATGCTGTATCACCTTTTCTGTTCAAATAAAATGCAGTCTTACAAAGATTTAACATTTAACTCTCCTTTTATAAAGTGTTACTTTCAGTGTTGTATTGCAAGGAAAAGCATGTTTCAGTTGTCTGAACTTCTCTTGGGGTTTACCTGCTTTAGAAGTGAAATATGATGCTGGACATCCAGGTTCTGCGGGGGCCACTTTTGAAGAAGCTTGCCATTGAAAAAGGCTATGGAAAAAAATAGCAAAAAAAAGGGGGAAATGTACCTTCTTGCCTCATGAATATAACAAGAATATCTGTTAGAAACAAATTTCCATGTGCCACAGGCCTGCTATGTTTCCTCTAGGTAATGCAATCCACAATGAAATTGGATGTGGTTGAGTAAGTTTATTTAAGGTTTATTTATTTATTTATTGTTTTTAACTCTCTGTGTTGCCTGTTTTGTACAGGAAAGGAAGCTACTAAATTCAGTGCATAAGCAGTCATATGTGAACAACTTCACATGCAGGATGCTTGGGCTTGGTTTGCATGGGCAGTTCAGAGTTGGTGCAGAATCTGTGCCCTATGTTGCACTGCAACACAGAGGGAGCAGCTAGCATCCTTCTCTAACAGAGCTGTGTACATCTGTCAGCAACATTAAGTAGCACAAGCAAAACCTAGGCAATAAGACTGTTCTGCTTCCATTTTTACAGTTAACTTGCAGATTTTTGCCTTACATGTTGCAGATATATTCTTAGAAATTTTGTCTAGTGCTGAATGTGGCTGCCTGCACAAGTGCCTTGAGGGTTAAGTTGTGGTTTGGACTATGGGTCCAAGAAATAAAGTAAAGCAATGAGTACTTCATGCATGGTTCACTGAGTAAGCAGACTAGTAAGCAAATCTGGGCCGTGGCCATATAGATGTAAAGACAGCGGCAGACCTGCCTCTTCCTGCGGTTACTGGGTGGGGAATGGGCTCAGGACAATGGAAATTAGGAACATTATGGGCTCTAGTGTCCCCCAAGAAAAGTACCTGAGTACTTATTTTTTTGATAGTCAAGGTGACTTTGTACTGCTGTAGAGTGCAAACAGCTCACCTCTGCCCAGTTTTCGTGGGTGAGGTTTCACTAGTCAGGTAATGAACCTTAAAGGAAACAGCTTGGAAAGGAGATGGAACAGCACTTGTCTTTTTGAGACTCATGGCATTAGGGCTTACCCATTCACTCAGGCTTTCTCCAGAAGCTGCGTTAAATGCAGAAAGAAAGTACTCTTGCTATGTGTCTGGCTTATTTTAGCATAACTAGTTTTATTTCATAAATGAATTTAGAAATGCGACAGACACAGGAATAAACTGAAAATGGAATCAAAGAGAAGAACTTACGCGAAGTGTATTGTTGCTGTCTTCTGGCTCTCACCTACTTGTCACCTAGAAAGGCTTGATGAAATCCCATTTCAAGGGGATGAAATAAGTCAAGAAAATTCACCCTCCCTTCAGTATTAAGTATCATGAAAGAACGTGTCCATTTCTTGTATGTGATTAAGTATCGAATTCAAAGCAACACTTAAGTGCAGGCTGATCGGTTTGCGTTTCCTAAATCCTGCTTCAATTGGACTGAAGAAACATTTAAATGCACCCCATGTAAAGAATCCTGAATTCAGATCCTGAATCAGAATTTAAAATAGGAAGTAAAAAGCATGTAATTGATCTTAATTTAGTAGCTTGTGCATTCCATTTTACCAAAATGTTAATGCTGACAGCAAAAATATATAATAGGAGTTCTTTGCTCATTGAGCTATGGATTTGGCATGTTGCACAAGCCTAAGCCTATGATTAGGTTTTTGAACAGGGGAACATAACACAGTCCTCCTGTCTGTTGAGAATTACTTTATGAAGGTCTTTTCCAAAGTTTAAAGTACATCACAGCCCATTGTCCTATGTTTTAGCAAATGTACCCTGAGCAACATGTTTTGTGTTCAGTTAGAGAAAAAGCAGATGCTGTGAAGTGCTGGGCTTGTAAAAATGGGTTTTGTGATAGATGGTACTGTGCTAAGGCTGGAAATGGAAATGCAGGCAACAGAAATACCCACACTGTTGAAAATTAAAATAATTTATAGATGTGAGCTTGCTGGCAGAATCTTGATGCCATTTCAAGACTTCAGACTTTGCAAGTTGCAAATGCAGAGGTCTTCACTAGTAAGCATGTGAACTTAACCATCTCACTGGACTTCCTGTATTGTGCTCTGAGGAACATGGCATTGGGCCTCGCTGGCCAAGAGAGAAGATGCAGCCCTCAGCAGGAGGGATGAGGAGCCAGTCAAACTCTAAATGCACACTGTATAATACAGGAGAATGTGTTAGTGGGACAATATTAATAAGAAAGAAATATCACTTGGGAAATATGGATGAAAGAATTTCAGCAGTGTGGGAGGGTGTACACACATTGCTTCTGATATGAAAATAAGCAAAATATTTTAATTCTGAAGCTCTTCATGGCCCAGCTGCTAGTACAAAAACAGTTTTCCTCTGTTTCGTAGAAAGTTCAAGATATAGTCATTTGCTAGAGAGTGCCAACATTACACATGTTACTATTCTCCCAGCTCACATCCTTTGTAACAGCGTAGGTTCAACGTACTTGTTAAATTATTAAGATAAGGCCATCCTTTAAATTCTGCTCTTTGTATCAGTGCCATAAGCAGACCCCACATGTCTTTTGTGTGCTTGTTTGAAAACAGAGTAAGTAACAAAAAAAAGGAAATGCACTGTTGAAATATGGTAATACCATGATACATGATGTGTATGTGATCGGACTTTTTGCTTTTCATTCCCTCTCTGGCTCACTAATGATGTTACAATTTTGATTTCAGATAGATATCTGTTTTTTGTGTATATAATAAACCATTCAACTTTAAAAAAGGAATTTTACATCCCCATTTAACTTTCATATTAATTCATTTTTGAGGAAGATCTATTTTATTGAAGAGACCTATTTAAAGAAGTATGAAAGATGTGCTGCAAGGATCAGTAAATGCTCATCTCAGTTTAAGTGATCTTACATCTAAAAGCTTTTTACTTCTGCCTTGAGTGTTTCTCTCTCAAAAAGGCTGAGCAGCCCCATGCATCCAAACTGTCCTAAAGAAGTCCTTGAAGTGCCTCCAGGTATCAGTTAAGTCTTCCCCTATCTCACTGGGGATAATCCTAGCAGGCAATTATATGCTTGGAGTACCTGATATTAAAAGGAATTGTAGCCTCCTTACAGTCTAAGAGTAGGTTGTGCATGGAAGTAAAGGGGAACTTGGATAATTCATGTAGCTTCCTGTAAGTCATGGTTTTAGAGCATGTTTAGGGTTTTGTTTTGCATTTCTGCCCATAGGTGTGTCTCTGGGATCAGTGATTTTCCCAGCGAGGCATTTGTTTGTTCCCATGGCGTTCTTGCTGGATAAGACATCTTTGCTCCTGTGCACTCTCTGTTTGGTGCTAGGCAGTAGCTGTTCCTGAGAGCCAATGCTTTGGGATAGGGGTACACACCCAGGAATTTCTTTGCAGGATTCAGGCTTTGGTTAGCAAACAAAGCTTTGGACACATTTCGAGGAAAAAATGGCAAAAGCGGAGCTAAGAGAGAAAACAACAAATGGAAGGTCAGTATATATTACTAGGATTTCACTCAAATCTTTCCCACCAAGCAGGCAGATACTGTTTGCAGTTCATCACTCGAACCCAAGGAAGCAGTGTTAAGACAACTATTGCTGGCAGAGCAAAGGTTAGACATGCAGCTTCACCTCCTGGATAAGTGCAGAAATTCCTTACTATGAGCACTGATTTGATAGAAGGACAGTAATACTATACTGAGAAAAATGGTTGTGTGTTAGTAAAACATGATGGTAGCAATAAAACATGATATGGTAACATTAGTTTCTCTCCTGATTTGGGAGAAAATTGTGTTAATGTATTTTTGCCTTTTTATGTTTGACATTAAATGTTGGATAGTGTATGTTTGACTAGAACCCTTCCCTCATGAGCATGAGGGTCATAATTGATGATTTCCTTATGCAGAGGTGCTGTAGTGGTGGCAAACCTGATAGGCTTAGTGTCAAGTGAGCACAGAGGTGGCATTAGCATTGCAAGCCAGGCTACTACTTGCTGCTGGTGAGCAGTAGAGCAAGTCTGTGCTCATAAAGCTTTTTCAGGCCTTTCTAGTTGTGGGTGAGACAGAAACCCTTCTTTTATGGCCTAGAGCATGACACTAAGGCTTCATCTGCCTTT